CACAAAGAGGAAGACATTTATGAGGCTCAGCCCCTCAACCGTCACCAGCCAACAAGCAAATCTGAAGCCTTATTCGAGGGCCTGGGAAACCCTGTAAAAGTTTCAATGCCAATAATGACCGCACACATCTTCCAAAACCATCTCCTCCCATTTTACCACCAATGGGCCTCCATTACCTCAGACAGATGGGTGCTCAACGTCATTTAGTCTGATTACAAAATCCCCTTCTTCTCCAAGCCTCCTACCCAGTCCCCCACCCCATCCCTCTTCTGGGAGCCCTCTCATGAGTCCTTACTGCGACATGAGGTGCTACATCTGTTACATCACAGGGCCGTAAAACCAGTCCCGAAACAGCACAGGGACAGAGGGTTCTACTCCCATTACTTTCTAACTCAAAAGAAGTTAGGAGATTTAAAACCAATTCTATATTCGCACAACCTGAACAAATTCTTCAAGACGCATTGCTTTCGCATGGTCACTTTGTTCACCATAATTTCAGCACTGCAACAAGGGGACTGGTTTTCAACCCTTGACCTCCAGCATGCCTATTTTCATTTTCTAATTCATCCTGCTTATAGGAAAGCCCTAAGGTTCACAGTGAACCTGGATCACTACCAATATCAAATCCTACCTTTCGGTTTATCTATGGCTCCTTGAGTTTTATCCAAGGTACTCACCATAATCACAGCGTATCTTTGCTCTATGGGAATAATCATATTTCATTATCTTGACAACTGCCTTTTCAAGGCCACATCACAGACCGAGTAAGCACACATGATTGCAATAACCATACAGTACTTTCAGAAGTTGGGCCTCTGAATAAACTGGGGAAAGTAATCTATTCATCTTTCTGAAAACATACAATTCATCGGTGGCTGTCTGGATTCCACATAGGCACAAACCTATCTACCTAATGAGAGATTTCTTGCTATCCAAATGCTGGCCACAATGCTTTTTCTCCACATGCACTATGGCCAAAGACTGCCTACTGCTTCTTGGCCACATGACAGCTACAACCTTCATGGTATTGCACACCCGACTCCGTATGCACTGCCTACAGATTAGGTTTTCCACAGTATACAAGCGACTAAAGCACCCCATGAAGTTCCAATTTATCGTACCTCATGAGATCAAGACATCCCTCCTCTGGTGGACCAAATCATCCGATCTTTGCATGGAGATTTCATTTCTCTAGCATTCCGCCTCATGCACAATTACTACAGATGCTTCATATATGGGCTGGAACGCTCAACTTTGAGACTAGACTGCTCAGGGCCTCTGGTCAACTCACATATAAACCTGTTAGAGATGTGCTCACATATAAACCTGTTAGAACTGCATGCTGTTAGCAATGTTTGCAGGCATTTCCTGTCCTCCATTACTGACAAGTATATGCATGCCCTTACAGAAAACATTTTCTGCGTATTCTGTATCAACAAGCAAGGGGGAGCCAGGTCTCGATCCCTGTGTACCAAAGCCTTAAAGCTGTGGAATTTTTGCATCAGCCACAACATTCACCTTTCCGCAGTTCACATACCAGATATCACCAATGTAATGGCAGACACTCTCAGCAGGCAGTTCCCTCATCATCACAAATGGGTGGTCAACTCTTCGGTAGTATGCTCCCTGTTCTGCAAATGGGGTCGCCCATTCATAGACCTGTTTGCAACACCTCACAAAACCAAATGCATTTGGTTTTGTTCTATAGTGGGCATCAGGAGGGGATCGCTCAGGCACCTTCCTCATTCCATGGAACCATGAGCTATCTTATACCTTTCCCCTGATACCACTTCTCGCCAAAGTTTTTCATAAGGTCAGGACAGATGGGGCCACGGTGATACTAATAGTCCCTGCCTGGCCAAGACAACCATGGTATCC